ATACGGGTTGGGGAAGAGAGCCTCGAATGTGGGCTCCAATGTCCACTGGATGTTTGTCTTCTTTGACGTACGTTTCGTCTTCTTCGTGGGTTTTCGCAGGGTCCATAGTGGATGGTGAGTGGAATGAAGTTGCAACCGACGTGTTTGATGTTGAGGAGGAAAATGTATATAATGCCCAGATTGCCCTTCACTTATTTGGGGAAAATTCTTGAAAATATTAGAGGGGTCAACAGACGGTTTTGGCGGTCAAATAGACGAAAATCTTCATTTTGGACTGGCCCGACTCATTTTTTAAAGGTTGGTATATCCGGCGGTACAAACTAAAGGTTTGGGCAAAATCTGCTAATAAACGAAATGTTTGGTACCTCGACTGCAATTTTTCCATAAAAAAATGATGTCTCTTTCAATATAGTTATGTAATCAATCATCAATGATCGAAACAGTCCAATCCTATGATAGATCTTCACGTGGTTTTCCCCATATTCAACTTCATGAATTGAGGGGAAATATTCACAGGGGAATTACCGACCCCTCACATGGATCGGCCCCACGCGGGGCCTGGTGCAATAGAAAAATGGCAAAAAAATAAAAATAAAAATAGTTCACACCCCTGTGAGACCCCTGTAAAGGATCTGTAAGAGTTAGACTTGTACACAAGGGAATTACAGACCTTTCACATGGGGTCGAGCCCACGCAGGGCTCGGTGCAATAGAAATGGCAAAAAAAAAAAAAAAGACCCCGCCCATGTAAGACCCCTGTAAAGGGTCTGTAAGAGCTGGTTTTGTACACCCAGCTCGGTTCTTGTGAATTTGAAACTACTTTTCTAATTGAATCGATATCCAAATACCAAATATTTGAAATTTCACACGTTTTCATGAAAGTTACACGATAATTAAAAAAGTTTAAGTAGTTCTGACCAATGGAGATAGATTGCGTAAATATAATTAAGGGAAAATTGCAGTAGCGATACCCAAATTTTTCAATTTTCGAAGACTTTACACCAACCTTCATTTTGTGCCACTCACAGTTTCCAAATCTTTCAAAATATGCATTTGAAGTCCAAATGAATGGAATTTGATCATTAGTTGACCAAGAAAAGTAGGCTTTGACCAATTTTGACTAAATTGGAAGGGGTAAAATGGTACTTTACATTTTTCTCCTATTAAATAAGTTAATAAATAAATAAATAAATAAACCATAAATAAAAAAAAACGAAGAAGAAAGAAGCACTTTTTTCCTCCCACTAGTGTTCGACCGCTGTCCAAACAAGTCAAAATCAACCAATGGTGGCCGACCACCGTCCACCGGGCACTACCACACCCTTACTCCCACCTTCTTCCTCCCACTCCACTCCACTCCACCCCTACCACACCCCCACTCCAACCTCCATCTCAACCTCCACCTCTACCCAATCAAAATCAGATAACCATTCACGACCACCAACATCAATCTCCTCACCATTACCATTGCAGTGCTACTCAACACACGGTCCCAACAAATCTCTTTGGCCTCTCTCTAAGCATATCCCTCTCTCTTATATTTCATGTTTTGTATTTGTACTGAAAGAGCAATACACTCTTCATAATTTCTTTTTTTCTTTTTTTGTTACAAGATCAAAAAATTAATGCAGAAATCAAAATCCATGGCCAGCAGAAAATTGATTGTGGAAGTTTGCCAAAAATCTCATGCCTAAAGACAGCCAAGGCACGGCTAGTACATATGTGATTGTGAATTTCGACGGCTAAGAAGCCCTTTTCTTGGAAAAGTGAAGATTGCTGGTAGCAATTTTGTGAAATCTGGTGAAGAATTGCCTTTGATTTTTTGTGGTGATGGTTGCAACCTTTGGGCGGCAGTGTTAACGATGTGTGGGTGGCGATGGTGGCCGGCCTATGGCTACAATGTCGGCAGTCGGTGTGGGTGGGAATGTGGAAGAGTAGAGTGGGAGGAAGAAGCTTAATTTTTCTTTTTTGGTTTTTTAATTTTATTTTAAACTTATTTAATGTGAGAAAAATATATGAAGTTACCATTTTACCCTTTTTAATTTGGTCGCAATTGATCAGATTTTGACTTCCTTGTTCATCTAATGGTCAAATTGGACTTCAGATGCATATTTTTGAAAAGTTTGGGATTTTGTGTGGCACAAAAGAAAGGTTAGGGTAAAATCAGCAAAAATTAAAAAGGTTAGGGACCACTACTACAATATTCCCTATAATTAATGATTACGGATCAATTTTTAATCTTTTGAAAGGTTAGAAACTTACTAGTACTAATGCAATAAGTTGGGGACCAAGGCTACTATGTTATTTTCTATTAGTGAGGTTTAGCTCCACTCGAAGACAGCCTAGTCAACCGTTAGCTAATGCCCACACCCTGTAGTTCATGTTTAAATTTTAATTCATGTTGAACAAACTTTATATATATATATTGAGAATGTTTCCATATATATATATTGAGAATGTTTCCTATCATAGTGCCAAATCAATTTGTCCTTCTTAAAAAATGATCTTTTGGATGGAATCTCTTGCAAATTCCAAGTTCATGTTTGATGTGCACTACCGAATATAATATAGCTAAGATAATGGGTTTTAATTATCTTCTGGGTCAAGTTTTGATGCTTATTAACTTACCATTTTATTGTAAAGTATCAAAATTTTAGTTATATAATAGTCGAAATGGTATAGCAAATCAGAACTCGTCCTTGTAACTAGCGGATGTTGATGAGCTGCGATCAATCAAGAGCTAAACATTCACTCTTGATTTGCGTATTTTGTAACTGGTTTTATTTCTCTTAATTGTTGTTGCCAACATGATTCTTGAAGCCTCCGAACTTTGCTTAATAGAAGGATAGCTTTTCGAATGCCTCTCTCGTATTTTTCGGGAATTCGACATTTTATTCGAGTAAGGGCAATGAATCTTAAGACGTGTTTGGTTCATTAGTCATAATAGATTGAGGATTTAATAGGTGAAGAGATGTATGACTTAAAATTTGTCATTTATCATTTCTCATTGAACGTACGGAGCATACTATTAGAGTTGTGATGAGCCTATTTGGGCTCATTCGTTGCATCTCGACGAGAATAATCGATTTTATTAACGATTCCAACATTAAAGTTAAAGGAAGGAGGCTATCATGAATGATCATTGAAGAATGATCAATAGAGTTCAAAATCAATGAGATTATTGATATCGTGCCTCTTAAATCAATGCTTACACTTACGTCATAACATACATAATTTCATTCAGTGATTAAATTGAGCCCTTGTTTGAGCCCCATTTTTAAATAATACAATTTTTTCCAAACTCATTTTCAACCACATATTTTCATATTAAAATAATTTTATACGTAAATCTAAATTTTTTCCCACTTTTCAACCACACATGTTCCAAAAAAAAATAATAATAAAGAAATAAAAATAAAAAATCATTGTTCCAAAATTCATTTTTAACAAATAAACAATGGCTAAATATTTAAGTAAGAAAACGAGACACTAATTAATCCTATACGAAATGCTTCATCATCAATACACAAAGTGCCCAAAATTACTCTCAAAGCAATCATACCCTAACTACCCAGAAACTTCAAGTATCCATCTACCTTTACTTGCAAATGAAGACATAAAGAAGAAGAATTGAAGAGAATGAAGTAATTTAACAAACTTAAACAACACGTGTAATTTAGTTTTATACAATAAAAAGTTAAAAAAACTACTTAACTTCAAACCATATTTTTCTCAAAGATTTTTGAGAAATGAGGTCGTCATGAGTAATCATCAGTCCAAATTAAGCCTTGATCAAAATTTTGTGCATAAGAGTATGTATCATAAGTAAACCTCATTGAAGAAATTGAGCATGCAAAATCTCTCTTCTTCTCATGATCAATCTTCCTCCATAATTGTGTCCAAATGGGAGCTTTTGATCTACTCATTGCTGGCAAATGATCATACCCTACAAATCGATCACATTGTTGAGTTCTCAAGTAGCTTCTAAGGCAGCAAACTTCGTTGGTGCAACTTGTTCCTGACTCCATTATATATTGAACGTAAATTATATTGCACTCTTGCTTCAACTCGAAATGGGATATGTTAGTTTGCACTCTTTCTTTGTATGCAGTACGCACATTTAATTTATTTAAGTTCGAGATAAAATATCTTTTCTATAAGTTAATGCTTATTCAAAAATCAAAGTGAAGCAAACCCGAAAACTGAAAAACAGCGCCAAATTTTGTTATCTAGAGACTTGGTCTTCTCCTTTTCCTCGTGAATGTGGTCACGCAGCCTACGAAAGAGAAAAGGAGAAAGTGTGTTTTAGAAATCAAATGACGTCTTTTACTTTTTCTTCCACATTTTTCCTTCTATAGTAGTTTTTTTCCCCTTAACTTTTTTTTTGGTCTTTTGAAGTGAAATAAATTTTGTATCGAACTAGAATATTAATTCTGAGCTCCAATTCTTTCTACAGAAAGTAATAATAACTGTGGATGTAAGAATTACATCCACTCAGTTTAATACAAGTGGCTAATGGAATCAGTCTTGTTTGAATTTCATTATAATCTCCTTATAATTTGAAGTCAATAATAAAAAATTAATTTTAACCATACATTTACAACTATTACCACTTATTATTCATATATTTCGTAGGAGTTCATTATAAATTTTTCTCAAACAAATTAACACTAACGTTCACCCATGCACTTGCAGGTCTGGTACCTGAGTAAACAGATATCTATTAGAGTGATAAAACTGCTCCTTTCCAGCAGCTTTCGAGCATTCGTGTGATACCAATTAGAAAAGAAGGCACATAGCAGGCTGTTGATAGCCAATCCCTGGGAACTAGACAACTCGGCTAGCCCAGATGGCTACCTAAGGAAACTCATTCGATCCGCCCCCGAGCAAAAGAGGCAAACAAACCTGCCACTAACGGACCCCACCCAAGTGGGTTGAGCCGTAGGCACCATCGGGGAGAACACGAGCAAATTGGCATGCCAGGATCCAAGCACAGTAAAGTACATTACAAGGAGACTTTTTACTCCATTCTTTGATGTTCTTGTACAAAACCACAAATGAAGATGAATAAATAGTGAAGTTCCATAAGTAGTTGCAGTACAGGGATATGGACCAGTATCAACTCCAGGTTGAACTATTGCTGTACTTAATAGTTTCTCATATACAATAAATATATACGTGATATATGCTACTATGTTATATTCGAAACATGAAGAGCTGTGTGTCATAGGACATGACACCTACCAAAGCCTAACGAAAATGTACATGGTGTCTTTCCATTTGCTGCAGGATGATATCACAAATGCACCTCCTAGCTCTCTTCAGAAACCTGTGTGCATTATCCAATGATACATTACTATCCAAAAAATAGGAATTGGTAATGCCATTCGTATTTCCTAATATAAGAGAATACTTGCAAGAACAATACTTTACTAGCGACTCCCACAACCTAACTCGAGATGGTGAAGGGGCAAGGAAGAGTAGGGTCAGTAACAGAAAGTCAATAAAGTGTTGATAGTTTTTATGTGGTGCGCTTGGGAAAATTAACAATTGCAGGCCATTAACTGCATTCGCTGTAATTGAAAGTAATGGATGGATAATAGCTCCTAAACTAAGTCCAACTGTATGCACACAAGAAATGATCAACCAGAATGCACGTGAATCCAGTTAAGAATGTGAAGAATACCTCCCGGTAGCAACTTTGTCGGGCAATTGTTTGGTTGCGAGTATTTACAATGACTTCGCACCATACTTTTGCCTGCACAAGATCATGAATAGGGTTATAAGGAATTGATAAATTTGATAATTGATATGAATATTAATATTCAGCTCAAAGGTCATAAATATACATAGCATAGAACCTAATGCTAAAGGAGGTCTACACACAGCCAACTTTCTGTTCTACCTGGTTTGATAATAAGCCCGTGTTTAGGATATATTTTAATGTGCTTTTGGGGAAAATGTATTTTAGAATAGTGATTTTTTTAAAGAATGGGTGGTTAAGAAAGAAGGAAAAGTTTTGGGTTTATGTGTAATATAATTTTATTGGAGAATGTGTGGTTAAAAAAAAGGAGAAATAAATATGTATTAAATTATAATGGAGCTCAAACAGGGTTAAATCCATGTTTATTGAAAAGATTATAATATTTAGGTGCTTTAGTAAATAATTTAAACCAATATATCAGAGAAGAAGAAATGGTGAAAGAAAGAAAGCAAAAACTGAAACATCTCATCTCCGAAGACAAAGGAAAGGAGAATTTGCTAACTCCACAACAGAATAGACAGAATGTGGTCTAACAGAAAGAATATCAGTTAAACGACTCCACAAGTTAAAAAGTGGTTGTTAAGATTTTCCGCATAATTTGAAAAACTTAATGAACCATCAGATTTATCATCGTAACATGCATTTACAAAGTTAAACCGGCTTAAAGAAGTTCAAGTTCCTAAGAACAACAAAGAACGGTTACAGCATTGACAGCAAAGCGGTCACCCATCTAAGTCAATTAAATAAAAAATCTCTGAATTTCAAGGTTGGTCATACCAATTATAATCTTTTGTCAAGCTCATAAACAAATCTTATTGAAAGTTGATCCTGCTTTTATCCCAACTATAGCAAAATGATTAGTTCTTTAAGATTCCAAAAAATACAAACTTGATTTCATTTCAATTAAATCAATCACATAATGATCTATTCCGTAACATCAAATTGTGTAATCATCTACATTTACAATACAAGTCAACTTCTAATCAATAATTAGTTCTTTTAAGATTCCAAAAAATACAAACTTGATTTCATTTCAATTAAATCAATCACATAATGATCTATTCCGTAACATGAAACTGTATATTCATCTACATTTACAATACAAGTCAACTTCTAATCAATAATCTTTATATATTGCTTAACTAAGCTTATAAGCCGTGGGTCCCAGGGTGTTCAAAAGTAGATAATAAAAGCAGTGGGCCATAAAAATATATATGGTTAAAAAATGAAGTTTCACCAGCTTATAAGCATTTAAAAGCTTTGTCAAATATTCACGAAATCTTTTAACTTGTTAGTCACAATATCCTTCACATGTATCCTTAATATGTATCCATATAAATTTTTAATAATGAATCTGCAAGAATGGCTACTTAATCATCTAACTCGTCCCGATTATATTCGTCTCCAAACTTGACTTTAGGCTGATCATAGATGGTGCAAAGAAAAACCAAATTCACTAATTAGGGCTACTCCACATTCAAGACCATATCTAACAGCAACTATCTCGTGGATTTCATATGTCCTACGCTGAATTAACCAAGAACTCCAACATGAACAAACAGCAATTCCCGCCAAACCACTTCAACATTCATCAAAGCACTTAGCTTAAACAAATTAAAGAAGAGATTAGAAACCTCCAATTCATATTTCATTTGATCTATATCATTTGATCCATTTATACTTCACGAGTCTAACTAAAACCATCAAGTACACATACGACAAGTATTTACTATTCTCTGAATTTTATGAATATTGCAAATGATAAACCATGAAAAACCAGCAGCCCAGCTAGGAAGAATCCCAAGTATTATGGGTGAAGTACATAGGGCTCACAAAGTCCATGAAGCTGTTGAGCAGATTTAGTATTCTGTTTTCCTGTTTTGCATTTTTCATTTCTGTTTTGCTGTTTTATGTGTGCTTTGAAGTTGTTAATTTTACTTCCATCATTTTCTTTAAAGTTACACTGTGTAGCTGTAGTTTAGGAAAATCTGTTAAGATGTGGTAAAGGCTGCCAATGTGAACAAAGAGGAGGAAAACAAATTTGTATCTTATTCCATTGTGGTTTAACTCTTTCCCTAAACAGAGTTTTCTGTGAAAAGTGTGAGTGAGGCTTTGAATGGGACCATATCAGCAAATTATTTTCTCTACTCAATATTAATCCCCAGTATAACTTGTGCCCTGAAGAGCAACATCTAATACAGTTCACACAGTTTGTATGACATTCTTAAGCTTTTGGCCCTTGGCCATCTAAATCATCAAATCTATAGACACAAATTCTGGATACGTAAAACAATCTTAGGTAATTATACTGTTGTTGAAAATCCTTAACCATCTACTTAATATTAATAATCTGTCTCGATTCTATTTTCATTGATATCCTATTCTCTTCAGCAAAATATCTGCACAATATGAGGATTATTAAGAATTGATTATGGTATCCAAAATCAGAACTTGACAACTTAGAAATGCATTTGGCTCCTGACTATATTACTAATTATTTTTTTATTTGCACAACTTAGAAATGCACCCTTCCTATTAAAAATCATCACAAATCCATTGCAGTCACATATTGTTTCAATAATCCAAAACCTCTATCCTGGATTCCCATAGTTGTGCAATTTAACATCTGAAGTCAAAATCTGCAACCTCTTCTTTCAAATGAAATTTCACAAAAGCACCCCTTACATTATGGAATTTACGTGAATTTTTTACTTGGCCCGAGCGATTAATAATAGATAACTATATTGCTATTTTAAAAGGGCTCATAACATATTGACTTCAATCTGTGCTAAATAAAAACTCAGAAAACAGCAATATTTTACCGTATATACTTAATTAGTAAACAAGATTTACCTTCAGAGGAATGTCGAAAAAGAAAACACCAAGCTTCCCACTAATCTGCGACGTCGTATCAAACGGGATCACACCCTTTGCCAAATCTTCCAGCAACAGAATCACATCGCTCAATATCTCAACCCCGTCCAGAACGAGCGTGACGTTGATGTACGACGTTCCACGGACCTTGATGTGGCCACCATGGGACACAGCAGATCCCAATCGCTTCCCCCGGTAGTCAATCGCAACGAGTAAGGAATCATAGTCAATAGAGTAGAAGTCTCTGTTCCGGACCTTAATGGTGCTGTCTAGGGTGATATCGAGGGAGATTTTCGGGCGGGTATGAAAGTGGAGACGATCGAGGCGGAGGCGGACGATAGAGAGGTCGGGGTCAGAGGGCCAGAGGAGGTAGGCGGCAGCGACGAGGAAGAGCAATACAGTGGCAAAGCAGATTAGACGGCGACGACAGGATTTACTTAGAAGACGGCGGGAGTGCGGTGGTTGGTAGGTTAATACGACGACATATGGGGGTTCTTGGTGTTGGGATTGGGACTGCGGGTCAGGTAGGAGCGGCTGGTGAAACGACGACGTATCAGAATGCTTTGTCGAATGCATTTTTGGTTGGTAAACGGACGATTGGAAAGGATTTTAAATTTTTCTACGTCCTCCCGGAGATATAGGAAGGAGACGAGAAGGTGGGAGCGGTCAGTCCGGTTCCTCCTCTGCAATTCTGTCAAAGTTGGAACTATAACCGCATTAACACTTCCACTATTTAAGTAGCGCTTGGCCCTTGTTTTATAGGATAAGGTCCTTTACCAAGGGTACTTTTTAGTTTGGTCCTGTCAAGCTAATCATTTTTTACATTGACCATTTTTTTTTTTTTAGTCATTCACACAATGGTCCTTTGAAGTATAAATGACATTTTTATCTTATTATGTTTCGTAATTACAAAAATATGTTATTGTTTAAAAGACAATAATACTATTCTTAAATTATAAATAAATCCAAACACTTCCCACTTGAATTTAAAACGAAACTAGTTTCTTTATCAGTTTCTCCAACACCGATAAAAAAAATTTCATTTTTCATCCGTTTCATAGGCATCATTCGAAATCAGTAAGTATATTTACGTATTTCTAATTTCGTTTTGGTATTTTAGTATATTGTTCGAATATTTATAACTTATTTCGAGGTAGACAAATAATTTTTTACAATCTTAAAAGGATTTTTAATTTTTTTAAGCAAAAATGAAAAAAAAAATTCATCTGCATGCATATTATTTCAAAAAAAATTCATAGTCATATGTATAATTGCTAAATAAAGCAAATGGAGGCGATAACAGTTGACCCAGACGGTCTGGGCCGGCTGGAAACATTTGGCCCAGATCGCCCAACGGGGCAGGCTATTTTCGGACTGTCCAGACGGTCCATTTTTTTAAATAATATTTAATTATTTATTTTATAACTTATTTGTTTGTATTTCATGAATTATGTTAATTGTTTATGTATATTGTTTATTTCAGTAAATTATTAAATAATTGAAATAAATAAAATAAATATTAATTAAACAATTAAAATAACTAATAACATATTTTGAATAAAAAATTAAATTAAATATAATATGAATAATTAAAATAATTATATATTAATTCCTTATATTTAATCTAATTATTTTCTAATATTTTAATTTGTTATGCAGATATGACATTAGTACGTGTCTCAATTTGTTACTTCTATGAATTTCAAAAGTATGAAAATAGTTAATGGGAACGGAAATGGACAAGTGAATGAAATGTGGTTAAAGTAATTTTTATAACGAGAAGTACATCGTTTACAGAAATGTATCATGATATACAAAACATGCTTAATGTCAATCCCTCTCAGTACGATGCAGAATTGAGATTTTTATTTCAGAAGCATTCAACCATTTTGATTCTACCTATGAAAGTTATTTTTGAAGTAGAGATGAAACATTTAATTAAATTGAACCAATGTTGAAAGTCGACTCATATTTAAGTCGAGTCATATTTACGTAACTTTATTGAGGAAGAATATCCTTGATGGTGAACATGAAGTTTCCGATGAAGAAGATCGTAATGTAAATAATGTTTGGGATACAGTTCAGATTGCTCATGAAGATGATGTGGTTATTCCCGAAACAGTTGCTACTCATCATGATCAAACTGTTACGCACAGAATTTCCTCGATAGTTGAAGACAACTAGAATGAAAATGCATATACAAATGAGGATTTGATTGCTTAACCTGAGAGAGATATGAGTCAGGTGGGAGCTTACAGGCCGGATCGAGTACACGATCCTCTAATTGTTCGCGTATGGTTCTCAATGATGAAGATATATATGTCGAGTAACTATTCGGATCAAAGAAAGTTTTGCAGAAAATTGTGCATCGAATTTCTCTGAAGTATAACCTCGAGTTTAAAGTGAAGAAATCAAACAAGTCGATGTCCACAATTATCTGTATTGACAACAGTTGTCGGCGTTTGCGAGGGACAAAGATGGATACGAATGAGTTTTTGTAATTTTTAAGTATGCACAAGAACATACTTGCGAAGTGCGTATTTATCGAAATGATTATAGGCAAGCCCGAGCATGATTCATTGGTTCAAAAATAATGCACAAGTTTCAAAATGCACGAACGATTTACAGACCTTCGGACATCATTAATGACGTCCGTCGAAAGTACAGAGTGGTCATGAACTATCAAAAGGTTTGAAAGGTCAAAAAATGCGCATTGGAGGATTTAATGGATTCGACTGAGAAGAGTTATGCTAAATTGGCAAGATATTTCTTTGTTTAGTTATTCATTTAATGTTTCTTTTAATTGTTAATTATTTATTTTTTTATTTATTTAATATTTAATTAATTATTTTAATTACTTATTCTGATTATTATTTATTTAAATCGACAGGTATTGCTATAACATGAAAAAAATTAATACTGGATCGGCATTTTATATTGAGATGAATGGCGAGAATCGCTTCAAATATTCTTCATGGCCCTCAAACAATGCGTTTGAGGATTTCGAAAATCGATGTAACCCCTAATTTTAGTTGACGGTACAACCCTTAAGGCTAGATATGAAGGCAAATTGATTATTGTAACATGTCAAGATACCAATATCCAAATTTACCCTGTCGCGTTTGGTATAGTTGATGGAGAGAATAATCTAGCGATGCGTTGGTTCTTCATTAAGTTGAGGAAAATAATTTGGGATGTCGAGAACTTTGCATTCGAAATCGACCGAGGGCAATCAATAATAAAATGTTATCATCGAAGTCTTCCCCAAAACATATCATGGTTATTGTATGTATCATATATATGGAAACCTGAAGACTAGGTATTGAGCAGTGACATCGTTCTGTTGTTTAGAAGAGTTTCAGAGGCTTACAGTTTTGAAAAGTTCGAGAATTTCATGGTCGAAATAGAAAATAAATCGCATGCTGCATGGCATTATCTAATAGAGATGGGGATCGAATATTGGGCATGATCACATTTTTCATGACGTCGATACAACATGATGACATTGAACAATGCGAAGTCGTTCAATGCCTTGTTCAAGAAAGATCGAGAGTTACCAATTCTCGCAATGATTGAGCACATTCGTAACAAATTACAATAGTGATTTTTATGATCGATGTGAGGAATCACAGAGTTGCACAAATGTGCTAACCCTCGCTCATGAAGATAAACTCTTCAAGACTCTAAAGGTGACGAGAAAGGTATGTGTAGAACCACTAGATTAGTTTCACTTCTTCATGAAATGTGCACATAATTTCGGATACATCGTGGACTTGAATGATAACACGTACATGTATAGACAGTTTCAGTTGGAGAGTTTTCTACGTATACATGTAGTGGCAGTGGCCATGCATAGAAGATTCTTACCACATACCTTACGCAATGTTTATTACATGGCTAATTATTGGAGAACGGCTTATACCGAAACAATATTTTCTGCACCAAACGAAGCCGAGTGGAAAGTTCCCAACCACATTCTCCCACTAAATAATTTTTCCCCACTCGAAGTCTGATCACGTACTCCTAGACGTAGACATACGTCTAGAATACCATCAATCGGTGAATCTTTCCAACCTCATAAGTGCGGCGCAACAGGACATACTAGAAGATTTTGTACAAGTTAGATTCCTCTTAATAACAATGCAATGGATGTGTAATGAAATTTAATTTTTATATATTATTTTCATATTCTATTAGTATTTGAAATCGTAGTATTTGAAGATTTTTTTTTTAAAAAACATACCGTGTTCTCCACATGTTTATTTAATATTTGATTTAATTTTTTATGTAAATATTTCATTAACTATTTTAATTTGTTACATTTATTATTTATTTAATATTCATTTACTTTATTTAATTATTCATTAAACACAACATACATAAACATTTAACATATTTCACGAAACATTTAAATAACTATAAAATAAATAATTAAATATTAGATAAATAATATACATTTTACAATTATTTCATAATTATAAATGAATGAATGAAATGTACATTGTTTAAATAAATATTACAATATGTACAATTATTTCATAAAAAATTTACGTGTTCAATATTTATGAATCACAATTAAATTCAACTAAATCACATGCTAATTTCTTTCTTGATCACGCTCAAAGAATAACGCGATAATTGTAGTATAGCCTTAGGGGTGTCATATCCACAGGGAGATGAAAAGTTATTCAAAGGATTTATCAAGTTGAGATTTTCATCGTGGTTTGTATAAAACAATTTATCAATTCGAAATGAGGTTTAAATATCCATATGTGAAATAGTGAAACGCCGAAATTCCCTTGATTGGTTCGGATCAATCAATGTCAACTACGCATTCATGTACTCAATTAAAGATTTTGTCATCAAACTTTAATTGGAGAATATAACATTGAAACCCAATTTAATTCCATAGTAATTCTAAAATTCAGATTTCCTATAGCACACTTCCCACTTTAATATATTGAAATCAGATAAAAAACAATCATATACATAAAGCATATAATGATAAAGAATCACACCAATAAGATTGCATGAAATTGAAATTCAACGAATAGTTTAATTTCACAATAGACAAAACATGGTTGAATCTACGAGAAACCTAATAAACGTTAAACCAATCTCATAATAATGCTTGAAATTGCAATTAAATAATTATTTTTGATCAATTAATAGAAAAGCACGACTGAATCTATAACAACTCTAATAAGAATTGAATTAATCCCAAAACAATCTCATGAAAATAGGAAATCCAAGCCTCGAAATCATTTAACAATGAAAATTAGAATTACTTGCGTGAATGGGCGTTAAAATCACCGATACCAATCGAGTTCCTTCGTGGCTTCATCGAATTCCTTAGTTCTTCATAGTGTTCTTGAGCCAAAAATCAAAGAAATTTTATGCTTAGAGGAGAAGAATGACGTTCTTTCTTGAATTAGGGTTTAAAATTATGTGAAAATCGTGTTTCCATAAGTGGTTGCTTCAAATTAGGAAACTGAAAATTCGAGTACTAGAATGTACCATGCGTACGCATGGTTCTAATGGTGCGTATGCACAGTAGACTTGTTTAGGCCTTAGTAGTGGATTTTTGGAATCTTGCGTACGCATAGTATAAATTATTCTCCACCAGTCAGCTTTCAGTATTTTGAATATATCTTCCTCTATCAATGTTCAATTGAGGTGATTCAAGTTGCATTGGAA